GGTTTAACTTCAGCTTGCTGCCCAAGGACTGAGTTGATTTTTTTCTGTTGTAGCTCCGCCTCCTGGTTGCTCCAGAGGCTCAGTTTTAAAAAAATGAAGGAGATCAATAGTCCATGACTGAACTGGTCCAAGTCCAAGTCCAAGACATGAAGGTGCTAATAGCACACCTCGCGATCCCATCTTAAGGGTGGGTTTGGACACTCCGCAGCGCCTCGAGAACGACCATTCAGGTAAGCCAAGGGTCTTTCTCCTAGGCGGTGCATGGAGTGTCCAAGCTCGGGACATGCCAAAGCTATGTCGAAGTTGGGAGGGAAGAAGAAATGTCCAGGGCCGCGGTGCTTGCCATGACCCTCTGTAGAACTCTCCTCCCAAAGGACGCCTCAGCGGAGGCGAAAGTGTCCAGTCTATAGTTCCATATAAATGGAGACGGACCAGACCACATCGCAGCACGGCAGATTTCTTCAATTGGCGCTTGCGTAGCCCAGGCGGCTGAAGTCGCAGCGCTCCTCATAGTGTGTGCTGTTATGCGCGAGGCAGGTGCCTGTTATGTGTGAGGCAGGTGCCTCGAGGTGACATTCGAGGCCAGTGCCCTGGATGAAAATTTGGTGGCGGCCAGGGACGCATCAGCAGAATACTCCACGGCGGCTATGATCTTGGTGATGTCCTGCCTAGTCTTGGAGTTGCCTGCCGGGAGGCCAGCCCACAGTTTGTGGAGCCAGAAGAGGGCTGCCCTGCCAAAATAAGAGGAACTGGCGGAAGCGCGCATGGCCCAGGCGGTGGCCTGGTGCATCTTAAGAGCTGTGGATTCCGTCCTCTTGTCCTCTGCCTTGAGGCCTTCCAATAACTCGGCTGGAAGGGAAGTGGGGGATGTGAGGGCCATAATTGGATCGTCCACCTGGGGGACCTTGAGGAGCTCCTCCAAGGGAGTCTCCGTGGTGAATAACTTCCTCTCTGTCCCATTGGGAGTGGCCAGAGTCCCTGGCTGAACCCATTGTCGCTGGATGATGTCCAAAAATAACTGGGGTGATGGCACGAGGTCCAAAGGTGGAGGAACCTCATTAAAAAAGCCTGCGCCGGGGTCCTGGGGCCCTATGACTACACCCATGGCCGGGTCAGATACAGGCTTTGCTGCGGGGGCTGGGAGACCCATCTGGGGGCCTGCAGCCCTGGCCTTCATGAGGAGGGGCTTAAACATGGCCGGATTGAATAGGGCTGATCCCGTGGCCTGTTCAGCGGCAGGTTCCTCATCCTCCAATAGGACCAGAACCTCTACCTCAGGCTCCTCCTGATCTGACACCTCACTAAGTCCCGTGGGGGCAGGAGAGGGTGCCCTAGCTTCATAGGCCTTGGGAATATTGGCCTGACTGGGAGCTGGCTTGTACGCCACAGGGGGCAGCTGGGCCGCCAGCTGTACCATGCCATCTGAGATGCCTTTGGATATGGCCTGAGCTACCACCTCCTCCATGGCCCTGGATAGGATGGACTCCTGACCTTGCGGGGGAGGGGGCTTCAATTGAGATGGAGCTAAGGATTCCTCCTCAGCTCCTGAATCCATGTCTGCTAGGGAATCCATAGCCATGGAATGGGTAGGGGATCCCAAGGAAGCCCTATGAGGGTTGGGGGAGAACCCAAAGTCCTCACTGCCTGGGCCTAGAGGGGATTCCCCTCACTGGGATCCGCCCCTGGGAGACCGACCCCCTCTCTCGTTGGGGGATGACTCCATAGGGATCTTGCACTGTGCGGCCTGGGCCTTCTGGAACTGTTTCTCCAGGGCCTTCTGGCGGCGCAGTGCCATTTTTTCCTCAGCCTTGGAGGCCGAGCCTGCCTTAGGCTGCTTCTCCCCTGGGGAAATACCCCCCCAACTCCCTTGCCTGATGGATTGGGCCTGCTACGCTTACTGGGAGTGGACCCGGTCTTTTTCCCTTGCCTCTCTTCCATGCTGATAGTATTAAGCTGTTGCTCCATTCTGGCAATGGCAGTAGACCAGGCCTGGGGTAAGCCAGAACCTGATCCACTTGCTGGGCCTTTAAGGCTCAGAGGCCTAGCCGGCTGAATAGAGGAGAGGGAGACTGGAGCTGGCTGAGAGGATCGGCCTAGTGCCTGCAGATCCGCGCTGAAGGCAGGTAGGCAGGGCTTTGAAGCCCGGGTTCCCTGCGGCTGCTGGAAGAGAAGGAGGGCAAGAGACAGCGTGGGCACCCCACATGAGGCTCCGGGCTTAAGGCGGCCCTCCGTGGCGATCTGCTGCTCAAAGGAGGCCGCGCAGCAAGAATAGAGGCCTGGAAGTGAACGCGTGCCAAAATGGACTGTTTAAAATGGCGGGCTATCACGCTGCGCGCGCCTGGAACATTGTCAGGCCGGCACGGAGCCTAGCGCTCCTGTCAGGGGCTCAGGAAGGCTTTAGCTGCCGAATCGCCCCCCCCCCACGTACTCACTGAACCAGCGTTTAGACCTAGAAACAGCCCAGGTGGAGGCTGGGCTGTGAGCGCCCCAGGGAGCCTGCCTGCGCGATGGATTCAAGCAGAATTCTCGTAGAAGTGGAAAAGCAGGATAAAATTACCCTAACTACAACCTATCTATCCAAACTAACAAAAAAAGGAGCTACAAACTCTCTTAGGAAATACTAAATTGGGGTCCAGCTTGCTGCACAAGGACTGGAGCCCCTGGAAATACGTCCTGTTGGGCGACTGAGTTTTTTAAAACTGAGCCTCTGGAGCAACCAGGAGGCGGAGCTACAACAGAAAAAAATCAACTCAGTCCTTGGGCAGCAAGCTGAAGTTAAACCTGAGCTTGGACACTCCAAGCAGCGCCTAGGAGAATTTAAGTGTTATATTGATTTATTAACTAGTTTCTTTTCTTAATGTATGATGTGAAATAGTGTAGGCTGTCTTTTCAAGGTAAGGGTTATTTTGTATTGCAAGGGATTTTGTTATTTTGTTTGTTGTAAAACAAATTGCAATCAGTAAACCTCATTATGTCCTTGGAGTATAAAGCAACAGATGGATATATTTATGTATTTGTATTGCTTATATAAGATAAGATTACCATATGTCCAATACATCCTGACAATTTCGTTTTTAGAATAAGAACACTGAGTCTGCCTGAAGACCTAATAATAACTAAATAATAAAGCTGCTCTCTTCCTTCCCCATTTTTACAATCAAGCTTTCCTTTCTTCTTCTTTCTTCTTCAGCTTTAACAGGATCCAAATCTTATCTCTTTTCCCACTCTAATAATAATTCATGTTTCTTCCAAAAGCCCTTCTTGCTTTTGTTCTGGCGGTTAATGATAATGATTCAGGAAGATCATAATTGGAATTACAAATGTGGGTTTGAATAATGTTGTTGCGCATAGACATATGGGAATGTTGGTATATCTCTAAATTACTTTAAGCCATTATTCTCTTGCAGTCAATAGTATCTTCCAGAATGACTGAATGGAGGATGAAATGAAGACTGAATTATTTGCAAACAGTCATTAGGCTTGTAATGGGAGAAGGGGATGGCAGAGTATGATGTTCTAGAAGATAGACTATATGTCAGAAAAGATACACTTCCAAGGTTCCATACAATGACATACTTTAATTGAAGGGACATAGAGTATATGTCTCCTGTCAGACAATATGGGATGAGCAGAAACAACTGGAGAGAAGTATTCCCATGCCGAGCAGGGTTTTATAACTGACAACCAGTGTCTTGAATAGAACCCGAAAGCAGCTGATTTTGTTTGGTCTTTCAGATTTGCTTTGCTTCTTCTAGAGTTGGGACAGGTAATACTGAAAATTCATTGCTCTATCAATGTTTAATAATATTTACAATTCAACTTCTTACAAGCTTCTATTTAATAATGGTTGCAATATGACCTTAATATTTTACAACAACTTGGTCTTCTATCATTTCCTAAATTCATGAATATGATTACCAATATGCAGACTTGATGGTGAAATTTAATTCTGTATATGATTAACCAAAAGTCAAATTAACTTGTCATTTATTAAAGTGTCAGATCTGCAGATTTGTTTTATTTCTACTGGGAGTTTATTCTGGAATTGCAATTAAATTATTTTAAATTTAGTCCATTGACAGTATCAGCTCTACCAATGTTTCACCTTCCTTTCTTTTCAAAAATGGTACAGACAAAAAAAAAAATTGTTGCCAAATTTTAGGGGCCTGGTTAAGACCATAAAAGCTTATGCTGAGGAATCCTTGTGGTTACCTTTATTCGTCTTAAATGATAGAAGTAGTTTGTTTTATAATAATCAGTCAAGCATTCTGGAAGTGGTTGGGAACAAATCCCAAAAATCTCATGTTTAATATTGCCAAGTTTGTCTGGGTGTATCTGTGTCTGTGTTACTGTGTGTGTGTGTATGTGTCAATTACATTCAAGCATACTTCAGCTATTGCGACAGCAAAGAACATTTTAAAATGTATAATCCTGATTTGGTGTCCTCGGATAATTACTTTTGATTATCTCCATATAGTGACCATTTGCAATTATATTTACAAACATATTTTTCAGTGGTCTTGGGAATTCCAACTTCTTTCTGAAAGTTTTCTTTATAATTTCCATTGTCCATTTTAGGTTGATGGCAAGGTCCAGTTTCTATGACATTTTGTAGTAATTGAATGGTCAACAAAGAGTATCTTTTGGCAGAACTTCAGATTAATAGAAAAAAAATGTCATGAGAAGTTGAAATAAATGTCTCTCTTCATTAACTTATTATCAGAGGAAAAGGCTCATACATTCAACAATACATTAAGTCAATATTCTATATTATACTATGTTAATAAAAATAATCAGGAGATATTCTTATAACTTCATAAACTGATGTAGTTTTCCATGTGCTGTTTGAATATGTAAGAACCAGATCACACATTCCTTAAATATCTGCTTGCCTGTCTTGATATAAATACATAACATTTTGTTTTACTTAGCCTAAGCACTACATAACTATTCAGCAATGATTTTGTTTTTCTCTTTAGGGGCTGATGTTATCAATTTTGATGGCCATGCTGTATTACCATACAGATTTGGACACAAGAAGAAAACACTGAAAACACTGAAAGATGTCATCGCTTTGAAATTTAAAACAATTGAAAGTGAAGGTGTACTATTCCATGGAGAAGGCCAACAAGGAGATTATATCACCCTAGAATTGAAAAAAGCCAAACTGGTTCTTAACTTAAATTTAGGTATGGCTTAAAAAAACAAGAAATTTTCTATGTCTTAGCACTAGATTTATAATTCTAAGTGTATCCCTTACCTTTTCTAAAAGAAAGAATTTAAATTCTGTCTTTTAGAAAAGGTAAGGGATGGTAAGGTGGCGCAGTGGTTAAATGCAGCACTGCAGGCTACTGCTAGATCAGCAGTTCAGCGGTTCAAATCTCACCGGCTCAGGGTTGACTCAGCCTTCCATCCTTCCGAGGTGGGTAAAATGAGGACCCAGATTGTTGGGGGCAATATGCTGACTCTCTGTAAACCGCTTAGAGAGGGCTGAAAGCCCTATGAAGCGGTATATAAGTCTACTGCTATTGTTATCAGTTTCTAGGTAGAATAAAAACTTCTTAAAAAGCTAGAATGATTTAATAGATTTATTTTGGGAACATTTTATCTAGAAAATGGAATAAAGTGGGTTTTTTTAGTTCAAGCCCACAGAGAAAAATATCAGATTCCCGATTGTAATTTTTCAATATATTGATCTAAATTAGAGAACTTACTCCATCTCTGGTCTTTTCCTTATGTCATTAAGTAGTTTTAAGTTCAGATCCTTTGGTATCAGTCTAGGAATGTTAAAGGCCTTATGACAGGGATATGGCAGAAATGCATAGCAAATTCACAGGGTTTTTATTATTCTGCCCATGTTTTATTTGGCATCATTTGTATAATGATTAATCAATATAGAAAACTTTGGCAATGTTACATATTATAGGAAAAAGACTTCCATGGGTACTATGTGAGGAGAATGGAATGCTTGAAACTGTCTCTACCCTAACTCTGATGTGTAATTTTCTAGGTTTCATCTGAGGTATCTAAGAATCAGATGATTCACATGAACAAGTAAGCATATATTTCAGGAATTTGTGAATTAAAATATTCCTGAAATATATGCTTACTTGTTTTGATGTAAAGCCTAAGTGGTTAAATTATTTTTTTTTATATTTAACAGTGCAAAACCCATCATTTTTCCTATTTTGCATCATTATATTTTACTGCCTTTAGCTAGTTTTTCTTAACTGGCTTCTAGTACTAACTGTAAAAACATTCAGAGACGATCTTGGATGAGATATGAAACAATGATTAAGAAGCAGAAAATATTATATATCCTAGAAACTGAAGGAAACATTATAAACAAAGTCAAAATAACCCACCTTGATTTTGTTTAGTGTAACATGGGGCAGAGATAAACTTTGACAGGCTTTCAAGATTCTGAGGCAATGCCTTGCAATAATAGAAAAGCATTTCTTAATCTGGTTTACCTTAAAGGGCTGACAAGGACAAAGGTGGCTGGTTTATAATATCTTGAGACAGTGGAACTCAATAAAGAAAGGCAGAGGAAACCAGTCTGTTCTGTAACTTTTCTTTGTATATTTTCCTTATCATAAAAATATTACCCACATAACTGCTTAGTAACAAATCATGCAGACTCTCAGATAAGAAAAACAAACAACTAAACATCTCTAGACACAGTGATGGCCAACAGATCTGTGGCAAGCTTGGTCCAACAGAATATGGAGAGGTCAAAGGTTGTCCACCAGACAGCATCTCCATATGAAAAAATTGCAGGATAGAGGTCATCTTGCAGGTTTGGGTTTCATAGAGGAATCAAGTTGTCAACCATATTTGAGCCTTTATGGACCCTAGCTTATACTATCTTGTTTTTTAATCACCTTTGGAATTACAATTATTTTAGAGTTAAGTCTTCTGAAGTGGCTCTTCAAATTTCAAACAGGACTTTTCCCCAGCTCCGTTTAAGGAAGTTGTAGCTGTACCTAGACCCCAATTTTTGCATGCAGAGCATATGTCTTGCTTTACTGAATTACGTTTTATTTATGCTTTCAATCAATTAATATAGACATTCTTCTAACTTGCATATAATTGGACCACCTTCATAATTAAAACAAAATCAAACATTCAATATAATTTATCCATTAAAATAGTTAAAATTAAACAGTTAAAACTATTTTATTTTTTACCACTGTTCCCATAAAAAAACCTTATATGCTATACCTGCTTTATTTTTTATTTGATCATAAATGCTATTAAAAACTTGATACCAGGTTTTCACCATACTTTTAAAATCTTAAACAAAAATAACTACAATTTTACTAACTGCAAGCAAATATTCATTATGCTCAGTGTTATATTACTACAAATTAGTAGAGATATACATAAACTATATTTGAATTCCAAAATGAATCAATCCACTCACACTAGATTTGTGGCCAAGGTAAAATGAAATATATGTCAACCAACATAAGCTGATCAGGAGACTTCATGAGTAAATAAAGAAGTGATGCCCTGCAAAAAAGCAGATTCCAACCTTGGTTGATTTATTTTTTTAAAAACCCATGATCTATATTTTTTTCATAAAGAATGTTGACAGAGGAAGAAGAAAAAAATCAAGTTATATAGACATTTAAAAGAGGAAATGGTTCATCAGAGGCTTTTTAGTTACAGCATTTGGAGACATCATATGCTTAAAATAAATAGATATAAATAGAGTATAACTCTAAGGAACTACAAAATTGTTTGCTTATAAATTCAGTTGGTGATTATGGTAATTCAGCAGTTGAGAATAGAGTTCTGGGAACAAGAATAAGGTATAACACCTATTTAGAATAAGAGGGGATAAAAGAAAGAACAATCAAAAGCTCCCCTATACTAAAACAATTTACAGGGAAAAGCACAAGAGGGTGGTTTTTTGTTTGTTTGTTTTTGGAAGGAACAAATCAGAAAGTTCTTATCAGGCTTCTATAAAGCTATTGGCAGGCAGAAGGAAGACTATCAACAAAATCGATTTCATTTACCTTGAACATATGGATTGTTGGAACTCCAGCTTTTCTCTGAAGTATTTTTAGAATATCCTGGAGGATTGCCAATAAATATCTGTGAGATTGTAAATCAACAAACCATAGCTTTGCATGCAAAATTGCAGATTCTCATTATCAAAGAGCACAGATTATAAACCTAAACTTGTGGAAGCGTCTTTATCTGTTTGATCAACAGCTGCATCCCAGTTGAAATTCATTCATTCATTCATTCATTCAGGACACAAATTCCTATCCTTAAGAAAAACTGAGATGGTGGGGGGGAAGAAGTCATTTGCTAATCCTTACCTGCATGAAGAAGGGAGGATTATAGAAACTAGGGCAAAGTTATTCTAAGGTTCATAATATTAAAGGAGGAAGGAAAGAAATAGTATTCTGGGTTTCAGAAGAAGTGTATATATTTTTTCTTGTTGCTTTAGTATATACCACTTACATTTATCCAGAACGAAGTGATATCTACCCTAAAAAATAATAAATGATGGGCAGAGAATTAGAGGTATCGTGGATCTGCCTTAGGAAAGCTAGGAGAATAGTTGCTAATCAGGATCTCAGTAATAAAGTAACATAATGTAATGTATTGTATTACATTACAATACAATAAATAATATAATATAACAATACCATTTCTGGAATTAAGATCATTTTGGATAAAAACCAGATAAATTAATTTTAAAAATAACCACAGTTATTACAACAAAAAAAGTTAAATCTTAGATCAGATTATGGAGGGTTTTTTTATCCTTACTATCAGAAATCTCAAAGTATTCTCACAGTGAGGATGCCCATATGAATACTGAACTTTTCAGGAAGACTTGCAGCAACTATATGGTATGCCTCAATAAGAAGTAGTATTGACAACTTTATCATTTCAAATTTTTCAAGTCATGGAAAGTGGAAAAAATAGCCTAAAATATGTAGTAGGATAAAATGAGAATTAAAGGCCAAAGATATCCATCTTAGTCTAACATCTTAATGATTAGCCATATTGACTCCTATCTTTTGCATAATTAGTAGCAACATATTTATTATAGAATTTCAGGGATAGATAGAAACAAGGCATTCAAATTGTGTGTTATTGTTTTTTAAAAGGATGGTTATTTGATTAAATTTATCATAGCAGACTCTAGTATATGGACAAAAAGTAATACTAAATCAATACAATGAAAAATATTAAACATTAATATTGTATTTATTTTCAGTTCTTGCAAGCAGCCCAGAGTAACTGAGAAGCAAAAAATGTAATAAAAAGTAAAATTAAAATCCGTATTTTTTCTGTTTTTTTACAGGTAGCAACCAGTATGGTTCAATCTATGGACACACATCTGTGACCACAGGTAGCCTTTTGGATGATCACCATTGGCATTCTGTTTTAATAGAGCGTCATGGTAGAAACATCAATCTCACCCTTGATCGGCATTTGCAGCAATTTCGGATCAATGGGGAATTTGACTACTTGGATCTGGACTACGAGGTATACTATCATCCATTTCTATTCAATTTGTGTTCAGTGCTTTCCTATCAGATACAGGATATGCACATTAGCAATTGCATACAAAGGATATTTTCAGAAGTTATGAAATGCATTTAATATTTCAGTGCTGATTTAGATAATAGTCAGTTCTAAGTTGCAAATCAGTTCAAATTAGCTCAAAGCTGTTCTAGTAATAGTTCTAGTAATAGAATATGAGAAAAAATTACCTCAAACAACAACATATTTAGCAAAGGAGAACATTAAATTGAACATGGTTTAAAATTCTTGTTTTGGAGCTTTTAAGTCTAAAAGGAAATCAAATATGTATAATGTCTTGAGCTATAAAATAAATGTAGGCAACTGTAAATCTGATAATATACAGTACATATATAACAAGCAATAAATAAAATAAAGATATAATGGAAAGATTGGGGGATTTTGTGTTTTAGCAGCAAGAAAGAAATGGTTAACCATTGCCTAACAGGAAAGTTTCCCTGAGATTTTTTTTTTTTAAGCATTAACTAAACCCAACTTTTCATAACATTTCTCATATCAACAAAGTTTGGCTAGGTACTATAATCTCTTCTGATATTTTTCCTATGCATGTTTAAAACAATAAGAAGACAGAATAGATAAACAAATAGGATTTGATTTACATACTGCAATAACACTAAAATACAAAAACAATATACTTCCATATTTATATGAAAATGATTCATTAGAATATATATAAAAATTATCATCTGTCAGTAATGAAAACAGATAAGAATGTAGAGTTGAAAAGTAGGCAAAAGCAGGTTAAAATATTGTAGGTTTTCAAATACAAATTGGTAAAAATCTTGGTTGATAACATCCCAGATTTAACAGTGATTGAAAAAGAGAAAGTATGACTACTTGATGTGGCACTACCAAGAGATAGTAAAGTAGAATTGTATCACAAAGTATCAACATCTGAAAATCAAATTGAAATATTATGATGTTAGCTAGTTCTAGTGGTCCCAATAATTATCAGCACACTGAGTGGGACGCCCAAAAAATATGTGGATTGATAAATTTTCAATCTATGAATTACAAAAAGCCATATTGCTTAGATCCATATATACAATGCTGCTCCATTAGGACAATCTAGGTTCTTCACACTGAAGTCAAGTAAAAGATTAATCAGAGTGTGAAGAAGATCTCAAAGTCCAAATTCAGTGGAGGTAGTACATCGAGACAATTAACCCTTGGGCAATTCCAATCATTAGATACAAAGTTAGAATAGTGGACTGGACTCAAGCAAAACTAAAAGCCCTGAATAGGAAGACCAAAAAAGTAATGACAATGAATCACCACAGCTAGTTTTACAGATTATAGATTGACTTTGTAGATCATATAGTCCAACCCCCAGCCCAAGCAGGAGACCCTGTACTATTTCTGACAAATGACAATGCAATCTCTTCTTGAAAGCCTCCAATGATGAAACTTCCACTACTTCTGAAGGCAAGCTGTTCCACTGGTTGATTGTTCTCACTGTCAGAAAATTTCTCCTTATTTCTTTCCTTGATCAGTTTCCATCCATTATTCCTTGTCAGGCCTTCAGGTGCCTTGGAAAATAGCTTTATCCCTTCCTCTCTGTGGCAGCCCTTCAACTATTGGAACACTGTTATCATGTCTCACCTGGTCCTTCTCTTCCTTAGACTAGCCATGTCCAGTTCCTGTAACCATTCTTCATATGTTTTAATCTTTAGGTCCTTAATCATCCTGGTTGCTCTTCTCTGCATTTTTTTCTAGAGTTTCAATATCTTTTTTATAATGTGGTGACCAAAACTGGATGCAGTATTCTAGGTGTGGTCTTACTAAGGCTTTATAGACTGATTTTAGTTCCTCACTTGGTCTTAATTATATTCCTCTGTCCCTTATCCATGCAGCGATATTGACAGACTCTACTGACCAAGTAGGTGGGTATGGAATGTTGCAAGTACCTCAGACAGTTAAAGAAGAAAAAATGGCATTGGAAGAATATCTGAAGGATAGTGAAGAAGCACTGAAGCTAGTGTACCAGGAGGGCTTATTGAGTATTGAAGAGACAAAACTAGCCTACAAGAAAGATCATTTAAATACCCCCCCCCAAAAAAAACCATGGGAAGACAAAGCATTACATGATCAGCGCATGTACACACACACACACACACACACACACACACATGGCAAAACAGTCCTGATGATGGCTAAAAGTAGGAAAGTTTAAGAAAGGGACCAATGGACTCATTCTAGGTGCCCAAATCAAGGCTTAACAACAAATGTAAATAAAGCAACATACAAAGAGGATAGCAACAGAGAGCTGTCCCTGCAAAAAAGCTGAAGACACAATAAACCACTTGATTAGAGCCGAGGTGGCACAGTGGTTAAATGCAGCACTGCAGGCTACTTCAGCTGACTGCAGTTCTGCGGTTCGGCTGTTCAAATCTCACCGGCTCAGGGTTG